ACTGGTTGCTAGTACCTCCGAGCAGATCGTTTTTAATCCCGCATTTTTGGCAGTGCGCCACGGGTTTGCCACGGGTGCACTCCACTTCCCAGATGCTGCAGTGTGATCGTGCCCGTATAATCCGCCATGCACTTGTTGCTCTCCCGCGGCAAATTTTCCGTGTGAACAGGGCCAAAGATCCAAGCCCTGGCACACCCATATATATATGGCTATTTTTGGGCAGGAACGCACAGGAACGGAGTTCCGGCTGGCTTCCGAGTTGGCCACGCCCAGCAGGAGCTCATTAGCATAACAGGCCACACCCAACAGCTGGAACTCATTAGGATTGGCTACATTAGGGGTGTGTGGCCTAACATGCAAAGGAGTTCCTGCTAAAAAAAAAAGCCCTGGGTTTTGACAACAAACAAGGTAAACGGAATAAGAAGCAAAAGGTGGGTGTGGCTGGATGACCACACTTCTGGTAACATGGGGGTGCTGCCTAATATGCTAATGAGCTGTGCTGTCAAGGGTGTGGCCCAATATGCTAATGAGTGTCTGCTGTTGCCTATTATGCTAATGAGTTCCTGCTGGGCTTTTTCTACAAAAAGAGCCCTGTATAATAGAGAACAAGCCAAGTGAAGCTCATCATGGCACAGAAGAGAGCAAAGAACTTCAATCTCACCCAGTCCTCAACACAGCTGAGGATCTCTATGGGATAGGAAAACAGACCAGAGTCTTGTGACAGTTTAAAGATGAATTAAATTATATTCCGGCGTAAGATTTCATGGACCAGGAGCCCACTTCTTCAGATGCTATGGGTGTGGATGAAGCAAAAGACAGCTTGTCTAGTTTATCTCTTTGGGAGCACTGTGCCCTACAGGGGTGGAATCTCTAGCTCCTAAAGATGAATTAAATTATATTCCGGCGTAGGATTTCATTGACCAGGAGCCCACTTCTTCAGATGCTGTGGGTGTGAATGAAGCAAAAGACAGCTTGTCTAGTTTGCCTCTTTGGGAGCACTGTACAGGGGTGGAATCTCTAGCTCCTTCTCTTTCATAAGGGAAGAGTGCTCTGAAACTTGAAGGGGGGAGTCTGGATGAAAAGAAGAAGAAGAAGAAGAAGAAGAAGAAGAAGAAGAAGAAGAAGAAGAAGAAGAAGAAGAAGAAGAAGAAGTAGTAGTAGTAGTAGTAGTAGTAGTAGTAGTAGTAGTAGTAGTAGTGATATCCCACCAGGATAGGCAGGCTAAGTTTTCACTGGGCCTCTAGTCATACAAAATTCAAAAGACCTTTCCTGTGCACTCGTACAGAGTGAAATTCAGACACGGGCATGAGAGTCCTTTGGTTTGGGCTCTGCCTCCTAGAATTATGAAAGGACTTCAAACCTTTATTTTCCCTTTCAGAATCAGAATGTGTCAGGCAAAGAAGCAGCGGTACAAGAACTGGGAGAGCTCAGCGTGGCCAAATCGCTCCATCTCAGCTTGGAAATTGGGAATACGCAGCTCCACCTATAGGGCAGAGACAAGGGCTGAGTTCAGACGGGCAGTTTGAAGCGGGAGGGAGTCGTGGCAAAAAAGACCCGGAACAAACTGTTCCGGGTTTTCCCCGTCACACTGCACCGACTGACGTGGGAACATACCGGGAGGAGGCGCAAGGGAGCGTTCACACTGTTGGCCCGGAGGCGCGGCTGTAAGCGGCTTTTTCTGGTAATCCGGTTATGTGCGCTCAGGCGCTTATGCGTATAAGTGCTCGTGTGCATAAGCACATCCCTGCCGGATTACAGCTTTTTGCGTTCACACTTCCGGGAAGCGGGATGGACACGCGATAATTGCGCTTTCCATGGTTTGATACCACTTTCACCTGGTATCTTTTAAACTCGGGAGGGAAGGGTTACAAGGCAGGATGAGTACGGCTGGGGAACGCCGGACAGATGCGCCTGTGTGAACAGCCCCTTTAATCTGCTTGTGAGACATTCTTCACACGCGCCTGTATCGGGGCAAACTGCCAGTCTGAACTTGGTCAAGGATTGGGAAGTGCCTCGCACAGAGGACTCGGGGCAGAGCTTTATTTGTGACGGGAGTCAGAACTTCAGCAAGTGAAGTTGTAACAGAAGTGAAGAATGTTTTTGTGCATTTAAATGTACAGGGGCTCCCCCCCCACCACCTCATATCTGAGAATCACTCCCACAAGAAGCCCTGGGCCCTAAACCTGACCATTAAAAAAACTAAGCTCTGGCTTGGTTAAATGTAAAATATTGATTAATAAACTGAGTATGCTCTCGGCTTCTCACGGCAGTGATGGAATCTCGTGTGGACTGTAATCAATGGCCTCCATGCGGATTTCCAAAGCATCTGAGGAAACTCTTTCAAAGCATGGAATTCCTTTCGTCATCTCGGGGGGGAAATGAGTAGGCAGAGTTGCCCACAGCATCCTATCAATACGACTAAAAACCAGAGAAACAGCGTTGCCACCTCCCACTCAGAGGTTCCATGCCTTTTAAAAGGATGATTTGTTGTTCACTGTAAGGTTTACACCTTGGGTTCCGTGCCTTTTAACAGTTCCATGATAAGCAGAAATACCAAAGTTGTCACTCTCCTTAACACAGAATTGTGGTGGGGAGCTTCGCCTGGTAAATTTCCATACAACCCTTAGAGGAGGAGGAGATTGGATTTATACCCCGCCCTTCACTTGGAGTCTCAGAGCGGTTTACAAACTCTTTTCTCTTCCCCTCCCCACAACAGACACCCTGTGAGGTGGGTGGGGCTGAGAGAGCTCTTGACAGAAACTGCTCTTTTTCAAGAACAGCTTTGACAGAACTATGCCTTGCCCAAGGTCATCCAGAAGAAGAAGAAGAAGAAGAAGAGGAGATTGGATTTATCCCCCGCCCTTCACTAACCAAAGGAGTCTCAGAGCGGCTTACAAACTCCTTTTCCTTCCCCTCCCCAAAACAGACACCCTCTGAGGTAGGTGGGGCTGAGAGAGCTCTTGACAGAAACGGCTCTTTTTCAAGGACAGCTCTTATCAGAACTACGGCTTGCCCAAGGTCATCCAGC